AAGAAAAATTAGCTGGGTGACTAAAAATAGAAAAAAAAAATCCCCTACTTGGGAGGCTGAGGCAGGAGGATCGCCAGAGCCCAGGAGTTTGAGGTTGCAGTGAGCTAGGCTGACGCCACAGCACTCTAGCTCAGGCAACAGAGCAAGACTCTGTCCCCAAAAACAAGGGGAAAAAAAGATATAAAAATAACAGGCTTAGAGCTGTTATTTAATATCCATTTTTTATGAACACATGACATTATAAATATTAATGTGATTGGTCCTGTCTAGACTGTTGACACCGTAGACTATCTCTAACACTCTATTTACTGCTGTGGAAATTTGAACTCACCCAAGATTTTTGAAGGGCAATCGACTCAATAAATCAAAAATCAAAACCCTAAAAACATTTGTTTGATCAGTAAGTAATCCCATGTCTCAGAATTTGCCCCAAAGTAATCATCAGAGAGGGTACCAATTGTTAGGTCAGGGTTGTTTATCAGAACACTGTTTACTGTGGTGAAGAACTGAAAACACAACTTAAGCATGTCATGGCAGGAGATGAGTTAAATAAATGAGGGCACCTCCATAGGATGGACAACCATGCAATTGTTAAAAATGATGTAGCATAGTGTTGTATGACATAGTTATGGTATTAAAAATGGGAAAAAAAGCCATAAAACAGTAATATAGTAATATCAGTTAGGAGTTGTAATATTCTGGGCTGCACATCACACTAACTCCAACTTAAATTGGCTTAAACAGTAGAAGGAATCGTTGGCTCAAATAATTTAAAAAGTCCAATGGCAGGCAGGGCTTCAGGTGAGGTTTGATCCAGTTGATGAAATCACCAAGACCTGGTCTCTCGCTATTCTGCTTTCCATAGTGTCAGCTTATCCTTAAGCCAATTACCCTCATGGTGTCAAGATGGCTGCCAACGGTAACCAGAGCCATAGTCTTCTTGGTTCACATCTAATGGAGAGGAAATCATCTTTTGCAGTAACTTCCTCAGGAGAGAGAAAACAAGCTTTCTTTCCCAAAAACCTTCAGCAAAAATATCCTCATATCTCGCTAGTCCATTTGTGATTTAATAATGTGCGGGGGTAGGGGTGGGGTGGGCGGATGGAAATTGCTTATTGGCTTAACCAGTTGGGACCCATTCCTAAAGCTGTGGGTTGGGTCCATCATGTTCCAGTCCCTGTTAAGAAGGAGAATGTTCTGGAATGGACATTGCAGGGGCAACACAGTAGCCAACCAATTTTATAAAATATGCATATATAAATATATATGCCTAGACCCCCCCCCAAAAAAAAATCTGGAAGGAAATAATCCAAAAAGCCAAATGCTCCTTTCTTGCTGGGTGAAATTATAGGCGAATTTTTTTTCTCTTTTACAATTTTTTTCTGTGTTTTATATCAGAAGCATGTATTACCTAAATGCAAATAGTAAATTTTGTTTACAAAAATAATGGGACATATCGCACTGTTTTCCTCCACTGCAACCCCTTCCCCAGCAAAGGCCCCAGAGTGACTGAAGCCAGAGGCCCCACGGAGCCTTTGGTTTTTCTGCTGACAGAGCCAAACCCCAGTGCCCCATGGGCCCTCGTTGTTTGCTGGACAGATGCCACCAAACCACTCTCATTGCATTAACCTGAATGCCGCCGCCTGTAGGGGCCACAGCTTGGGTTTATGAGGGTTGACCAACCAGCCAGTGGAACCAGCAGTGGAGACAGTGGCCACAATAATAACGGGAACATTCTGACATCAGCAGCATGGGGGGCCCAAGATCTCCCAGGACAGATTTCTGCTCGTAATCCATACCCCTTATGTGGCAGCATGTAATGTAGGCCAGCAGCCTTCTTAGGGTGGAGCTGGAGTTAGGGTTTAGCGTGTGATGGGATCAGGCTCCGAAAGGCTCAGTGTCAGGTTTAGAACCGAATCCGGGGCTAGAGTCAGGGCCCAGTCAATGAGTAGGCTTAGTCTGTAACCAGGATCAAGGCTCAGTATGTGACCAGGGTCATGGCTCAGTCAATGACTTAACTCAGGGCTCAGCCTTGGACCAGATTCAAGGCACAGCCTGAGGTCAGGGCTTGGTGTGTGACCAGAGTTGTGTGACCCAGGATCAGAATTCAGTTTGAGATCAGGGTTCAATCAACGATTAGGCTCAGGGCTCAGGCTGTGACCAAGATCAGGGTTCAGTCTTCCACCAGAGTCAGGTTCAGTCTAAAACGAGGGTCAGTCTGGACTGGGGCTAGAATTCAGTCTGTGACTAGGGCTCAGTCTTAGACTAGGATAAGGGCTCAATCTGGGTCCAAAACCAAGGTCTCAAGTTGGTATCATCCTTAGTCAGACTTGGATCAGGCTTCAGTATGTGTCTAGAGTCAGGGCTCAATCTAGAGCTGGAGTGGAGGCTCAGTCTTGACATGAGATTAGAGCTCAGTTAACCCTACCAAGAGTAGGACTCAAGTTGGATCTGGGATCAGGGCCATGCCCAGGGCTTAGTCTGGCCTCTGTTCTGAGCTCCAATAAAGAAGTTTCTGGAGACATGGGAGCCCAGCACAGGTCAGTCTGCAAGAAATGAGAGCCCCCAGGCAAGCTCGGCAGGGTCTGGTCGCTGCAGTAAGACTTCCTCTTGCCTGCAGAGTCCGGGTGTCCTAGAGCCTTCTAACCTACATGGCTCTGCTGCTCGAGATCCCCTCGCACCAGAATAAAAATAGCCACTCACTTCAGAGCAGCTGACAGCGGGCGCTGGGCTGCCTGGGAGGAGGGGGAGCAGAGGAAAGGGAGGAGGGACGCCTGAGCTCAGCTCCAGCTGTGTGACCTTGGGAAAGTCATTCCTCCTCCTCCTCCTCAAGCCCATTTCCTGAGTGGCAGAATGGGGGTTGAGGATGACACCTGCCTCAGAGGGTGGCTCCAGTGACATAACATGTGGCACTTGTTACCAAAAACAAACCCTGGACGCCAGGCATGGTGGCATGTTCCTGAAGTCCAGCCACTTGGGAGGCTGAGGCAGGAGAATCCTTTGAGCCCAGGTGCTCGAGGCTGCAGTGAGCTATGA